GAGTGGAATTGCCTTCCATTGAGTTACAATAGTCATTGCACTGCCAGTCTCTGTAGAAATGGCTCTCTAGGGTAATTTCATAACCTGCACTGACAAAAATATAATTCATACTGTGCTGCCTTTCATGGGGGCTTAAAAAAAAAAAACAAAGCTAGTACCATTTCACAGTTATTTTCTTTAAGTTTGACCAGCGAAAGGGAAATAGATTTCTCCTTCTCATAAATTATAAAACCAGTAGACTTAAGGGGGAAAGGCAAAATCAGTCTTCTCAGCCTTGCAGAAAAAAAAAACTTGAATTACACAGGCCATAGTTTTCTCATATGAAAAATGGCAGGATTGAACTCAATCATTTCCAAGTGAAATTTCTACCTCCCAAAGTCTCAGAATCTCTTTTTTCCTGGAAATGTGACTACTGAATGAAAAAAAATAAAATTCTCTGAAGGCTTAAAAAAATTGAGGTATAATTGACATACAATATATTAGTTTTTTGATTATATGATTTAATGATTTGACATTTGTGTACATTGTGAATTGACATTTGTGTACATTGTGAATTGACATTTGTGTACATTGTGAAATGATCATTGCAACAAGTTTAGTTATCATCTGTCACCATACAAATTAATGCACTATTGTTGGCTATATATAGCTGTATATTACATCCCTATGACATTTATCTTATATCTGGAAGTTTGTACCTCTTGATCCCTTTCACCTATTACCCTCTGGCAACCACGACTCTTTTATCTATGAATCTGGTTTTGTTGCGTTTGTTTGTTTTGTTTTGTTTTTTAGATTCCACATATAAGTGAAATCATGCAGTATTTGTCTTTCTCTGACTTACGTCACTTAGCAGAATACCGGAGGCTTTTCGTTAGATGAGAATTCCTCTACTGCAGATGGCTTCTGTCAGATTCTGGCTGACCTACTTCCTCTGTGTGTTCTGGCAGGAGTGATGGAGATGAAGATCTAGAAAGAAGAGTGCCATTCATTTAAGGAGAGTTTGGGCTTAGCAGAGGATCCCCTTGGCGGCAGGTGGGGGGACGAGAAGGTAAAGAGTCAAAGAAGAGCCCACAGTTCTATGTGGCTGAGGACTAGAGCCAGGGCACAGGCATCAGTGAAATTAAATAATGGGAAAACACCCCCCAAAAAGATGAGTGGTGACAGGAACCAGGAGATCTCATGAGTGAGACCAAGGATTGATGTTGAAAAAGGAGGCAGTGTACTGGTCTGCCTTTGTCACCCCATTTATGTGTGACCCAATCAACAGCCAACCAGCAGGAGTTCTGCTCTGTGTGTTGACAGGAGATTATTACTGAAAACAGATGACTGTGGGGTGGCATGGGGAGTGGATCCATCCTCCTGGCCCAGCTAATTTATTCCCAAGGGCAGAACCTTCTCTTTGATATCTTGGAATTGTTCCCAAGCTGCATATTTCATCGATCCATGAGCTCGTGGTATTTGCCACTCTATCTCTCAGGCACCTCTATTTCCAAACAAACCTTACACATTCCCTTCTCTATCAAGGTATTTAAAATCTTTGGCAGCCCCAAGCACTCTAACTTTTGGGTTCTTTCAAGCATATTATAATAATCCGTAATTTACTTATGAAATTGGCAACCTGTTTAATTTACATTTGGCCATGCTGTCTCAATAATCAGCTGGCAGACGTGGAATAGCTAATGTAACATGCACATTATTTTCAGAGATCATAAAATTTTATGGATTATAAATTTAACAACGAAAGAGGGTGACATAGTGTCATTTCACTGAGTATTTACTAATTTGATTTTTAAAAAATATTCTAGGACCAAATTTTCTTTAGCACATGGAGCTCGTCAGTGCCCCTTAACCAAAGCTCACCAGGAACACAGCGATATTTGAACAAGTTCGGTTTATTTCTGCTTGCATTGAGGGAGAATATGCACCATGGGGAACCATGGAACATCTCAATAGAGGGTGATAAAAAGGGCCTCTTATAGGATTGGGCTGGTGTTATGTGACTCGGGAGAGAGTTCAGGGAAGTGGGGCTTTGCTCTGGGTTGGATGTTGTCAGGAAGTAGGGTAATTCTGATGTATTTTCTGATGTATCTTCATAAATCTTTTCTGGAAGGAGGGCATGCTAATGGAGGCTAACGTGGTAATTGGTAGAGTAGCCAATTAAAGGCCACTCACTGGGGCCTATCCATGTCTGGTCTGTTCTGGCCTGGACAATGTTCGTGCATTGTCTGTGTTTTGACATGATCGCAGTGTGGTCTTGTTTTCGTCTTGATCCATCCTTCTTACACAGTGGCCTTCTCTGATGCTGTTCTGTGAAACGATTTATGTACAGCAGGAGAACGCCAGGCCTAGCTGATAGCACCAGGCCAGCTGCTGAATGTCTTGGGCTGCGTTTCTCTTTTCCAAGCTAAACATTTTTTCAGATCTCAAGCATTTTGTGAGCCTCTGAAAAGTGTCTAGGCTGTGAGCTATAAACACTGTGTTAGTAGTACCTGCAGGATAAAATGGCTTTGTTTCCTTCATAGGCTCTTTCTTAGAAGGAAGGCCCTTCTAGTATGTGCTTCCTTTATGCATACCTTCTGTGACTCGCTGCATGAATAAGGAGGATTTGAAACACTGCAGGGAGAACAGGTAGCAGGTGCAGGGATGCCTTGCTGTATACTCACCGGGAGGGGGCAGGAATAATAAGAGTTGGTTTTCTGTGTGGTGGGAAAAGTATGGCCCTGGCCGTGGCCTGGTAGATCCAGTGGGAGTAGAAGGTAGTTTAATGGAAGCTAGAATTCGGCTTAGCTATTTATAACATCAGGCAAAACTTTTTCTCTGTTGTTATCTTTTGTTTTGAAAGAGAACAAAAGTCCAGTATGTTTTTCCATGTCATAAAGCATGTCAAAAACGTTAAAACTCTGATCCTTGGTTCTGGATAATTTTTTCCACTTATTTTTTTCTCCCATTTATAACTTCTAGAAATTACATTTATACTACTTGTTGTCACTTTTCCCATCCTCCACTTTTTATTTGGAAACTTTTTAAGCCCTCAGAATCATTGAAAGAATGAACCCAGAGTACTCTTTACCAAGATTCACCGAATGTTAACATTTTGTTACATTTTTCTTTCTCTGCTAAATCATTTGAAGTTTCAGACATTATGACATTTTACTTCTAAATACTTCAGCATGTTTCTCTTAATAACAGAGTCATATTCTCCTACATAATCACAATAGTGTGTATGTAGGTATGAACATGTGTTCGTGGAAGTACAGTATAAAGATCTTTCTTCTGAGCCATTCGAGGGTAAGATATCAACATGATGCTCCATCACCCCTGAATATTTTACTGTGTATTTCCTATAAGCAAGGATAGTCTCTACAGACCCACAATATAATTACTAACATCAGAAAATTAACAGCAACCTATTACTATCATCTAATACTCAGATCCCATTCAAGTTTTTCTGGTTGTCCCAATTTTGTGCTTTATAGCAAAAGGATCTAGTCCAGAATGCTGTTACATTTAGTTGTCATGTTTCTTCAGTTCCTTCAATTTTTGACAGTTCCTCGCTTTCCTCGAGTTTCATGGCTTTGACACTTCTGGTGTTTACAGGTTAGTTATTTTGTGGAGTGTCCCTCAGTGGGCTTGTCTGATGTTCCTGACTGGAGAAGTGTAGGATACGCATCTTGGGCAGAAATATCTCAGAAGTTGCGGGACTCTCATTGTGTGCTGTCAGGTGGGCATCATTTCAGTTTATCCCATTACTTATGATATTCACTTTGATCATTTGGTTAGGATGGTGTTTTCCAGGCTTCTCAAATTTAGATGTACTCTTTTCCCCTTTGTAATTAATACATTTTTTTAGGGGATGGGGAAATACTTTGAGGCTATTTAAATATTTATTCTTTATCAAACTTTCAATTCCTTTCTTTTTTCCTTTCCCTTCCTTCCTTCCTTCCTTCCTTCCTTCCTTCCTTCCTTCCTTCCTTCCTTCCTTCCTTCCGTCCTTCCTTCCTTCCTTCCTTCCTCCCTCCCTCCCTCCCTCCCTCCCTTCCTTCCTTCCTCCCTTCCTTCTTTCCTTCAAGTATGGACTCATGGATTTCTATTTTATTCAATGGGATGTCATCCATTAATATCTTCACTTATTTTATGCTTGAATGCCTAATATTTGGCCAGCAAGAGCTCTTTTGAGCTGGTTTTTAGATCTTTTTTGATGTGTCCCATCATTCTTTGAGCCCTTCCTTTCTTTCCTGCAGAACAAGATGCTCCTGTATTATTTAACCTGCTATTAACATTAATAGCCCTGGAATCAGCCATTTTCTCTAAGAGCCCTTGCTTCTTTTTTAGTGAAAAATGGCATTTAGACATCAAAATCTTGGTGCTGAATGTGCTAAATGCTCTTGGTAAATCACCACTTTCAGGGTCTCTCAGTGACAGAGCCAGGAAATAAAAGTATGAATATATAATGCATATATATTTACATTATATTTAATTCTATATCTACATGTATCTATATGTATATTAAAAAATAATGAATTCATATTGTTATCTCTAATTCGACCCAGTGCCACAGGATTCATTCTAGTTTTCTATCTTTCCATGTCATATGTAAGTTCTTTGTTTGAACATGAGAAACATGACTCTTATCTCTCTTATTATATTTTCCTATTTTATTAAGCCCCCAATGTAACCAATCTGCTCTACTGCTATTGCCACCTGCCCTTGTGGGGATACCCTCTTCACTCAGATTAGGCTCCAACACCTTGGGTTGGGTTGCTCTCTCATTAGGATGCCTCTTCTCTTTGCTTGGGCTCCAACAAGCCCTGCTATACCACCTTCCCATGTGGATGTCCTCACTCTACCCGGGCTTTGACTCCCTACCCCTCTATAGGCTGCCCCTCTGCCTCACTTGGGCTCAGATAGCCTGTGCGAGGATATCTTTCTCACCCCGTTTGGACAAGTCTGACTTGTAGAAAGCAGGCTGGACTGGTTACTGTAGAAAATGTGTTGCAAGCTTTGTGCAGTGGCAGTATCGTAGCCAATGGGGTTTATCCAAGGCGTGATTATTGCTAATTGAAAATGGGTTGGGTTCCTGAGCTGGTTGTTACAGATCATGGGTCAGAGTTTTATTTTTATATATTGTCTAGAAATTGTTCATTTGTATATTCAGTCTCAGTATATTGACATCTAATGAGTCTAATTCTCACTCCACTTCTGTATTAGTAAGAGTTCTCCAGAGAAATAGGACCAATAGAATGTGTCTACCTATGGAAAAAAAATTATTATAAGGAATGGGCTCACATGATTATGGAGAATGGCAAGTCCAAAATCTGCAGGGTGGACCAGTAGCCTGGAGACTTAGGGGAGCTGATATTCTAGTTGGGGTCTGCAAGAGAAGTCTCTCTTGCCTGGGGGAGGCCCATCTTTTTTGCTCTATTCAGAGCTTCAAATGATTGAATGAGGCTCATCCACACTATGGAGGGCAATCTGCTTTACTCAAAGTCCATGATTTAAATGTTAATCTCATCCAAACAGAAACATCACAGAATAATGACTGACCAAATATCTAGGCCCCTTGTGGCCCCGCCAAGTTTATAGTGTATTAACTATTACAATTCCCCCAGTCTCCCAGAAATTTGTGAATTCCGAGGTGAACCAGTGACTCTTACTTTCTCTCGACTATACCCTTGCTTCATATTTATCCAACAAAATGCTATAAATTCTTGAGACTCATTTTGTCTTCTCAAGATGCACATGCAGAGCCACCCTGGGTTTGTGGCAGGGCTCTTGAGTGGAAATGCCTTCCTTAGGGCCTTCATTCCAGCTGGATGTGAAGAGACAAGGCAAGCTCATTCAGGCATAGGAAAGGATAAGCCTTCCAAATTGAAAGGGAGGTATTATTACACATGCTTCTCTCATGTTTACTTGCCTTTGAGCCAAACCATACTATGGCCTAATTTTGTCTCTCTGGGAAGGCCTAAGCTGATCATGACAGTAGTGAGGTAAATGGTTTGGAATCTGACAGGATCTCTCAGAACACTTTGGCTAGAGGGGTCTCCCTGAGGGGTCAAAGTGGGGAGCAAAATGGCATGTCCTTTCTACCCTGATTTGCTAGAACCGATGGGATAAAGACAATATCTCAAAGCAGGCTGACAGCTATGGTTGCAGAGTAACATATTATCTACAATAAGGTCATCCTATTTAAAAATCATTCTTTTAAGTCTTTTACCACTTCTTTTTATTTTCCTTGTTAGTCAAGAATGTAAAATGTAGAGTTTTATTAATAGTTTTTAAAGCAGATTGAAAATGTAATTGCTCTTTTCTCTCTCCTAGTACAATCCAGTCTGTGTCATCTCATCTGACTTGAAGAAGTATCTTGTTGAGGTGAAAGCTAAACCTTTCTTGTTTCTTCCCTCTTCCCTCCCTTCTTTCCTTCCTTTTTTCTTTCCCTCGTCTGTTTATTACTCATATCTCCCTATCTAAAGGATATTTATTAACCACTATCATTGGGGGTATAAAGATGAATGAGAACCAGTCCTTGCCCTTGAGATGATTACTGCTTAGAGGGGAAAGTAGAAACAAAAACAATCTATTATAATGCATTGTCAGAAATTGAGGCAGGAATTTCAAGGAAAGTCATGTTCTGCAGATTCTTGAAAGATGAGTTGGAGTTTCCTAGGCACATGCAGAGCTGAGGTGGAGAGAATGTCCCAGGGAGGGAGGATAACACGATGATGGCGAATCCCAAAACAACTTCTGCTCTTGGGCCATGCTGTGGGACTCTTCTATAGTGTCCAAGACTTGCCTGGTCAAAAGCATTTTTGTTCTCTTTTCCATATTATCAGATCCCACCCCCTCACCCTACCATTACTTTATCAACACTCGAGTTGGTGTCTTTGCACTCTGAAAGGTCTTTCTGATCTATGGCAACCTTTCTCTGTGTGTAGGCTGACCTTGACCTTGTCCAGCTTTCCATCTTACACTTGGGGCTCAAGGCCATGTGCAATCTTTTGATGAATTCTTATGACCCAAAAGAGCTGTAGCAAGAGCCAGTTCACCGTCTGAGTTTCAAATGAAATATCAAGCAATGATTCACCATTACTCAGAAATTTGTCAGTTCATAAATTTAAAGCAACTCAATTTCCTTTGCTTTTGAACAAACAAAACTGGATGGTGCATATATATTAGAACCATCGAGTGGGATATTAAGCTTATCCTTGCACAGGTTTGTTTCCCATCAGTCTGGTGAGGGAATGCTTATGCTTTTGTGTACCTATGTAAACTAGGCATGCTGACGTCCTTTGGGAGAAGTAGGAGTGTGAAAATGTGGCTGTGCTGCCAGTAATATGGGAGGAGGATGAAAATAGCAGATGAAAGTTGTGATTTCAGCCAACAGAAATAGGAAACTGCTGCTAGGTCATCTGCTTGATACCCAGCACTGGCATATTAGCTGTCATTAGCCCTTATCCAGGAAACAATTTACATCCGTTGAAATCCTTATAAATTTGGATTTCTGCCCACAGACCCATCATCCTGCTTTTTCTCACGGATTAAAGAGAAAATGGCCTGTGAACTATTCTTTGTGGGCAGAAAGTGCTATCCTCTGGCCTAGGAGAAGTTGGTTGGGTCACTCCTCCTAGCAACAATGTGGCCATGGGCTTGTATTATCTCAGAATGGAAGAGACTGTAAGAGGGTATCCTGTCCCATCTTCTGCTAGAAGACTTCCTTGTCCCTCAAAGATGTGAGGTTGTAAAAGTTCCATTGGAATTGAACAACTTCCCAAAGAAATACTTTCCAGGGACCCTATACCCTTCAAGTTTAGAATTTCTTTGTGGGTTTCCTTTGGTTATTCCACATCTTGGTGATGGTTTTAAGAGATGTATATCTCTGGGTGTCCTGGGGTCTGGCTCAGGATGAGTCTTTTACCCTGGGGGGATGGGCCATTTGAAGCAGGTTCACCATGTTGGGTGAACCTGTTCCCAATCCTCCTGAGCTTCTATCTGCTTCCAATCTCTTGTGGATCAGTCTGAATCCTATTCCTTCTGCTCAGATCATTTGAATCTTGAAATTTCCTTTTGGAAGTGTACTCTAGCTCATGGTAAGAAGCACCAGATCTGGGCCAGAAAGCTGGAGTTGGGGCTCCACTCCTGCCTCTTTTGGAATGTGTGCTCAGGGGCTGCTTGCCTAACAGCCTACCATCTCTAAGCTCTGGTTTCTCTCTGTTTCTGTCTTGTCTCCCTCTCTTCTTCCCTCTCTCCTTACAGAGTTATTGCAAAGCAATAAAAACTATGTTACAAGAAATGCTGAAAACTTTTATAAATGGACTATCAAAGGTATTTAAAGACCTTCTACAGTTAAGAGTTAAAACTTGAGAAGGTCTCTCCTTCCTTCAACTCTTTTTGACACAAGAATCTCTTAGGTGCTTCCACTTAAAAATTTGAAACAAAGTCTTTATGACGATTTACCACCTTTTCCCACTCAACTTTTACTCACCTTTTATGATCAATCCCCCCAAATAAAGTCTTTTTTTCATATTCAACCTACGTACTCTTTCATCTTCCTGATCAACACTCACAGAACATGGTTGTCCTTAACACATATTTTAGCACCTGGTTGTTTCCTGCCTGTGTTATTTAAGAGTTGTCTTAGATATTTGGTTTTCTCTCCCAATTAGGGAATGTGGTTCCAGATTTCACCTCCATCAAAGCACTTATTCTGTTATACTAACCTTTTCTATTTAGATTCTATTTCTCCACTAGCCTGTAAGTGCTTGAGAGCGGGGATGGATGGGTCATATTCAGTTTTATATTGCTAGTGCTTGGTACATGGTAGGTACTAATGCATTGTGATCTTGTACTAACAGAATGTAGCAGAAGCTATATAACCATATGCTGCATTAAATAGGATTATACACATTGTCTTTTGAATTTCTGGTTAATTTGCACACACAGACATGGCAGTCAGAGTCACTGTTCCTGGAGACCCCTGCAGTGTCTGCCTCTGCTAGGGTTCTGATATCCCCTGCCTCACCCTCATGTATGATCTCTTAGACTCAGAAGAGTATAACTGGGAGGGCCTGTAGCCAACACTTCTAGGTGGCCCCAGTATTCATTCTCCCTTTCTTCCTAGGTAATAGAATTTTTTAGCAGATCACCTGTTCTTCTAGTCACCCTGGCAGACAGTTATGCCCTGTGTCCATGTTCTGAGTCACAAGTGTAATTTTCTTAGAAATAGTGTGGCCTCCATTTCCCTTTTCCCCATTCCAATGGACAAGGCAAAGGTCTAGGGATGGCAGAGCAGTAGCACAGGTACCAGGTACCTGCCCCCAAGTCATCATGGAGCATCATGGAGCCTCAGCTTTCATTTGGGAGACAGTATTTAAGCACTGTTGTCTTGGATATGTTTTAGCAGCCAGACCTATTCATACCTAATGCAGGAGCCATGGAGATGGTTCTGTCATATCTCTTGTCTTACACATGAGAATACTAAGATCCAGAGTGGCCAGCCTGTTACCACAGTCCTGTGGTGGGGGTTCCCAATCCTAAAAGTCCAGCTCAGGGTCCAATCCTGACTGAGAAGCACATGCTCAAGTGCGAACCTTGTAATTGCTTCTCTAGTGAAGGCAGATAGGAAGGGTCTCTAAGATCTTGCAAAATATAATCTCAAAGACACTTAAGTGGGGATGACTTCATTGCACAATATCCTCTTCCCTTTGCAATGTGTGAACAAACTGGGATGGAAATCCAGGATCTAGCACAGCCATGGAACACTCAGCCTCAAATGCCATATATTTTAATAGGGTCAGGAATAGGAGCCATGCGAATGGGAGTGTAGGAACATGGATGACTTAACCTATATGTAGGTCAGGGATGGGCCTTAGAGAAAAGCAAAAGTAGATCATATACCTTCCCCTAGGAGAAAAATAGGATGTTGAACAACACTGAGGTTTAGAAGGTAACTGAGCAGAGAGGCTGCCTGGCCAGAGTTCTCTCTGCAAAAGGAAGAATGAGAGAGAGGAGAAGGAATCTGCTCCTGCTGAGGTCTGTGCAGCAAGGACTCTTCCTCAGCCTATTGTGTGTCTATCTCTTATACAATTATGCCATAAGGTGGTGTTTTCACCAGGGTATATCTCTATGTAAAGGATTCTGTA